CGAAGGCTAGACTCGAACCGCTGAAGCGTCGACCATTTCTGGCCAGCAACTTTCAGCGTCATTAAGCCGCTGCGCCACCGCACCACCGCGTCCCCCCTCCAAAAAAGATACCCAGGGCAAATTAATGCCTGAGGACACCATCACTAGACTGAGCAAGAATGACTTCTGTAATTTAAGCAGAAGTGTCTCTCCACCCCCAATAAAAAAATATGGAGGAATGTTTTAAGAATAAGAATGCTACTTTCTTAATTTTCATAAGCTTAAAATGTATGTGAATTGCTTAAAGCTAAGCGCCCTAATGATTTGTGATTACAGTATACTGAGGACAATTCTTCTGGTTTGCCTGTCTTTCCCAGAACATTTCTTTCCACTATCCAGTACAGAAACGTGAAGTAGCTAATGGAAAAATTGATGTGCTTGATGACTGGACAAATCCTGTATTGATCATTTTATTTATCCACACAAGAATTACTTTTTAGTAGAGCATTAAATGGTGGGGCTTATTCTTTAGCATACATGTTTACAGTTAAGCCAGCATTTTCAGATACTTTTCCCAGGTAACCAGAAGCGAAAAAATTGTGAAGTACTGCCTATTCCATGTACAGAATGTATCTTATTGCTATGCACAGATATATCCATACATGGGAATGCACTTGGTGCGCCATCTCTTCTCTCATATGAGCCTTGGAGAAGAAGGCTCATTTTAAGCATTAACAAAACACCAGGATAACCAAGCACCGCCTCTTAGCTTAACCCAATAGAAGAGAATACATGTAGCTCAGGGTTGAACTATGGGGTCCTTGGTGCTCTCGGAGCTTGGTTGTCTGCTTGCAGATGTTTCATTACCCGACTACAAAACATCATCAGCACTAGCGAGTGTGGGGTTTCTCCCTGTTTATATACAGTAGTTTGCCAGTGATGGAGGTGGTGTGGTTTTCTCCTTGGTAGTTTCTTGATTAGAGTATTGTTTTCTGCTTGTTTGTCTGGTGTTAATCCCTGCTTATCTAGGTGTTGGCTGCTGGAGGGGATGTATTCTGGTCTGTTTCCTTCTTAGTTTTTTTTATTGTCTCTTTTGAATGGTTTGTAAATGTGGTTTATCTCTATGTGTCTATTGATGGCTGATTAGTCTGAATGCCAAGCTTCCAGGAATTCCCTAGTGTTTTTGGATTTAGCTTGATCTAAGATGCTTAGTTTCCCAGTTGAAACTATGGTTGAGTCTGTCCATGTGTTGTGAGATTAAGGAGTTTTCATCATTGTCTTCTGACTGCTAGTTGGTGTTCATGCATGTGCTCGCTAGCACTGATGATGTTACCTAGTTGGGTAATGAAACATCTGCAAGCAAACCACCAAGTTCAGAGAGCACCAAGGACTCCACAGTCTTAGTTTAAACTAAAGAGCAAACAACCTGACTGAATTTGAATACAGTACAGGTGGTCCTTGCTTAATGACCACTCATTCAGCATTCAAACTTACGAGGACCGCACTGAACGAGCGATACTTACGACTGGTCCTCAAAGTTCCAGCTGTTGCAGCATCCCCGCAGTCAAGTGATTGCAATCCAGGCACTCTGTGACTAGCTCACAATTATGCCACAGTGTCCTGCAGTCATGCGATCGCCATTTCCAACTTTCCCTGCCAGCTTCCAACAAGCAAAGTCAATGGGGAAGCCAGCAGGAGGTCGCAAATGGTGACCACATGACATCACGCTTAACAACAGAGCAGGATTTGCTTAACGACAGCAACTGGACGTGCTGGAACTATGGTTGCTAAACAGCACAGTCATGTGACACTGCACTTTACGATCACATTGCTTAGCAGTGGGAATTCTGGTCCTAGTTACCATAGTTAACAGAGGACTACAGATGAAATCCAGAGCACAGTGTTTGCAGATCCTCACCTGTGTACCCTCATGGGCTCAACTGCCTTGCAAGCCCTACCCAACACCAGCTTTCCACATTTACTCAGAAAAAAGTCTCAGCACAATTTCTTCCAAAGACAACGAGCTTTGGTTGGCAGCCTGAGAAGAGCAACGTTGCCCTTTTGTCCCTCTTTTCACCGGTGACATTGCCACAAAATGAGCTTTTATTTATTTATTTATTAAATTTATACACCGCCCATCTCCCCAGAGGGTGACTCTTGGTGGCTCACAATTAAAATCAAACGGTAAAAACAGTAAAAATAAATTGTTGTTGTCGTTGTTAATGACCACTCATTCAGCAATCATTCAAACTTAGGACTCCTCGTTTTACTCCTCGTTTTGCTGACATTTGGTTTCATTCCTTCCTCCGGCCCTCAGAAGCCTATCAGATTTTTTTTTTTTTTAGGAGGAGTAATCACTGCCATTCCGAATCTCGCGCCCAGCGCCTTTCCCCACTTTGCAAGCGCCAGAGAACTTTCCCTCCCTGCTTTGCGAGGCTCGGGCGGCGGTCGCGCGCCTACCCAGGCACTCAGCCCACGAACGCGCATTAGGCCTCTAATTCGGCTCCCATCCCCCTTCGGGGGGAGGAGGAGGAGGAGGAGAGCAGCTCGCTCCCTTGGTAGCGGCCGCGACGCTCTGCCGGGCTATTCTGCCTTTCTCCTTTGTTCGAAGGGGGCGGGTGAGGTGCCCCAAATGCACAGGCCCAGGAGAATAGCGTGGGCCGAGAGCCCCCCGGAGGTCTCTGGCCACGCGAACCCCGGCTACTCTAGCGGAGAAGAAAAAGGGGAGCCCCCCCCGGGGAGAAGCGCCCAAGTGAGCGACGCGGCAGCGATGGGGGACGAAGTCGACCACCCGCTCCTCAGGGGCATTTTCGAGATCGAGAAGAAGAGCTGCGACGTGGTGCTCCGCGCCCAGCGGCTCAGCTGGAGCCCTATCAAGCCAGAGAGCCCCGTAGGTGAGGGCTGCGTCTCTGTGTCAGCGTGTGCGCGAGAGAAAGTGTGCGGTCCCCCGCCTCTCCTCCCCCCTCGACCCGTTTCTTCCCCAGCTGGGACGGAACTCCGGCGCACAGATTTAGCCGCACGTAGGATACGATCCGCAGCCGTACCCGGAGGCCGGCGATTTTAATGAAATTTACGCTCCCTTCCCCCGCCTTAGAAGCGCCAGCTCCTTCTCCCCGCGCGCTGCCGTGCAAACGGGGAGGCCGGTGAAGGTGTGGCGTGGGCGGCGAAAGAAGCGGCAAAACTGAAGAAAAGTTTTGTTAACTTTGAAGATCACGTGTACCCGGTGACGAGTTACCTAGATCGGAATGTAGCACTGGGTAGCAGGTGTGAGGAGCGAGAATCTCGGCTTTTCCTCCTCCTCCTCTCTCTTCTATACCGGCTAAGGTGTGTGTGTATGAATGCGCGCTTTCAAACTGCGCTTTTAGGTAACGATCTCCCTGCTTCTAATGCGGAAGTTTAGGGGAAATACAGGCATCTTTATATTTAAGTTGCGAGCTCTTTTGCCTTTTTTTTTTCACTGCGAAAAGGAAAAAAAAACCTTTGAAGCAGATGTGTGCCTTTCAGGTGTGCCTTTCCGTAGTAAGGCTAGAAAGTGCCATTTTGAAAGAATCTTGGATTGAGTTAAATTAGTTTAGTCAATTGAGTCTTGCAGTCGTGTCTAAAGTGCAACTCCAATCATTCAGTAGTCCAACCAACAGGCAAAGGAACATTTTACTCTAACGATAAAAAAACGGGCTGACATTTCTCTTTTCATCTTTCCAGTTGAGCTTCTTTTTCTTTATCTTAGCCCTGCCCAAACCTTAAAAAAATTAGTAAGGATGGCACACTAGTGATTGAAAGAAAAAGGATTTGCTCCGTTTTTCTGGAGGGGGAATAGGCGCCCCTTGTATTTGCTGTAGTAGGCGAGGTTTATGCAAATCATACTATTCCTAGCCCCTTCTAGTTAGTATCTTCCTTAATGCCAAGGTCGGGGTGTGGCTGGGGCTGATCATGAAATGTAGTGTTTTCTCCCTGAGTAGGAGAACGCAGTCCCTCATCACCTCCCATGACTTGGAGCTTTTCAACAGGGTCTGGTTTATTTATTTTACAGCACTTCTAGGCCACCTAGTTCCCAATGAATGCTGGGAGGTGAATAAAACAACAGTATATTTTAAACAAATACAATAAAATTCCTGTTGAAAAAGAAGAAGAAAAAAAGACATCATGGCACCTTCTTTCAGTTTGGACCAGAGTTCGTGGCTATTTTCTTAGTAGCATGGTACCCGGGGGTGGGGGGGAATCAGTAATTTGATAACCTGGCTAATTCCCAGAATATGCCTTCATAAAACAGATAGGTAACAGAGTGGTCATTATGGGAAAGTGCCAAGTTACTCTGCAGGGATAATAGAGTACCAGAGAGATAATCCACATGATGCCCTCAGGCAGAGTCAGGAGTTTAGGGAGTTGGTGAACTCAAAACAAACCAGGCTCTTAACTACTAGCTCCACCCTTAACAATGGAGTGTCTGTGAGTCCTATGCAAAGTAAAAGAATGGAGCTGTGTATTGAAGGAAGTCTCCATGCAATCCAATCTTGTGTTATCAAGGTTCTATTAGAATTCCTGTCACATGAGTGGACTTTCATTTGCATGATGTGAGCTTTCCCCTCCATTATTCCTGATGAAGAAAACATTATCAAAATATAAAGTGCAACTTGTACATTCAAATTTTAAAAGTAATAGCTAGCAGAACATTTATTGTCATGGATATAAGGTTTTTCACATTAAGGATACACTAGAATGTTAAGGTATTTAAAATTTGTCCCTAGTTATCATTGCTTTGTAGTTGTTTTACATGTAGTAGTGTTTTACCCAAAACATTGAAATGTAAAAAAACCCCTCCTTTTTGTATATATTGGGAAAATTAAAATAGGAATAAAATGACAGTTATCTTTGCTTGTTGACTTGTTCAGTGTAGCAAATCTTAGGTGAATTAATTTATGTTCTATTTTTATTAATATTGCAACTTTAATCAGTGTAGTATTTACAGAAAAATGTGAATTCTGTGAAACATAGGTTACATACTTTAAAATGTGCTGTACTTTTTATGAATTAGCTTTTCATGAACAAACTCTGGTAATCTTTTTAATTATTTTTATGTTCTTATGAAAATGTTCTGTTGAAACGATACGTTACATTATGTGTTTGATACATACATTATCCCTCTACCATAAGGGTCTGCTATTATGTTAGACACCAGCTGATTTTATGATAGTATTGGATTTCTTTCACATATGCTTATGTTTTGTCCAGATGAACTCAAAGAACATCTGTCACTTTTGTGGTGGTATCTGCTGCTTCCTTTTAGAATTTGACCTTTTGGTTAATGATAGCTACAGATCTGCAAAGGGTTTAGTATCATATACTTCTTGTATGAGTTTCTTTTGGGGGGAGGGGATGAATATATTGTCCCTAATTGTCTATCAGTAGATTATTGAATTCTGTGAACTATTTAAATCACTTATAAAACAGGCATATTTAAAATATTTTATTTTACCACTTAGAATTAAAATTATATAGTTACATTTAGTTTCATACTTATTTAACTGCATTCTTCCAAGCAGATTTCTTGATCCTGAGGATGCTGAGAACCAGGTATTTATATTCCCATCCAAATTCTGAAATTGGAATACATAGAGAGTAGATCAGATAGAACAAAGTTCAAGAAGGGCAAGCCACGTACAGAAACTATTTTCTGCCTACTAGCTGATTTCCTAAATAAACTACCTGTACAAAAAAATAAGTTGAGAAAAAGAAAACACCAACTACTGTATAGCATAAATTCGGTATTCTAAAATCATTAAAGAATGGTAAGTATCACAGATCTCTTGTATTTATGAAGTATTAATGTCATAAACTGATTCAAGTTGTCCTGAAAAAGACAAATCACATGTTTTTTAAGTGCAAGTGGTCATTCCCACTGATAACTTCTTTCTTCTGTGATGTAGAAGTCATTTCTTTTCCTTTAAAAAAATGCTTAACATATTGCTTCAAAATGTTCTGTTTACATTTATGTAAGCTAGGTTACATAATCTGAATTTTATTCTCTAAATTCTCTAGCTAGGATTAGACTAGACACCTCCCAATTCCAACAACAAAAAATATATGAACTGGGCAATCTGACAAAAAAGAAAAGAAAGTTTATAGAATTTAGATTGATATAAATGTTTAAACATAAATATATTATGTCTAGACTTTAAATTTAGTTTAATGGAAACTGAGGATACGTTTATAGGACTAGATGCAAACAATCAGTAATATATATTTAATAATAGCATACTATTGTCATTTTAATGTCAGCATAGTGGTGCTGGTTTTTGTTTTGGGGGGAAAATTGTATTATGTTTTTTTCAGATGGAGAAAAAACGACATTGATATAAGATGCGAGAAAGTAGGGAAGCACTGTTCTCAGTGAACATTTTTTTGGGGGGTGGCTTCACAGAATCCTAAAAGGCTGTCTTTCCACTGTCAATTCCCTCCATTTCCAGCCTCCTGTGCCATGTGCCATCCAATTCCAAGGAGTTCTGATATCTGGGAGCATATCTCCTGAAGATGCAGAGGCCATGGAGAAAGGGGAAAAATGGGGAAATTCTCTTCTGCCCTTTAAATGGAATTTAGTTCTGGAATTTCCCTTAATAAGATTTTTTTAATGGTATAAATTTTACTAACCCTAAAGAAAGGTAACGTTTGCATGTTTAATATTTAAACATTCAGGTTTTTTTAAATTGAAAATGATCCAAAATATCAGAAATTAGGACTGTGCACACTTCAGAAACAATTAGGAAGAAGCTCTTCAGACCTTGTGTGAGCATAGGGCCTCCCTGCTGTTCCTTAAACTAGTTCATAGTTTGAAGAACTTCTATGTAAGCCTAAAATGGATACAGCTGCTTTAAGAAGCTGAGCCATTAAAGTTAATGGAACTCTTAAAGCAGTATCAATTGTTTTCAAGCTTGCATAGAAACCTGATGTTGGGCTGCTTTAATGAATAGAGAGAGGTCATCTGAAGTATTTCTTCTAAATAGTTTCTGGAGTGTACACAACTCTGATGGAAAGAGAATATTATACTTAATTTTTTCCATTTTTAAGATAACTGTTCAGATCTATAAACATTCTTAAAATCCCCCAAACCATAATAAAAATATTTCAAAAAATAGCTATAAAAAATAAGGGATACCAATAGTAATTGGATCAGACTCTAGTGTTACAATCAGAAAAATTATTCTGTGTTAATGCAATACTTCAGTGCAAACAGATTTACCGCTGGCACTGAGGCCCTGATAGTTTTTTACAACAGCTAGTACTTGATATTCTGAGGGTGGAGATTTTGAGGAAATCTAAACTTGTAGAAACATACCATGATAATTAGCACAATTATGCAGTGTACAAGTATGATTTCTTATTTCTGAGTCCCAATAAATTTCAAAATTCATGCCTTTATGTACTGTTTAATACAGTATTATATGTAAACATGCTAACTTATTTTGGTTATTTTTTAAAAAAGGAAAAACCCTGATTTTAAAAAGTTACTTCCATGCTTACAGATACATGTGTAGTTATGCCAACATATTATTTTAAGAATTTTAAAATGGAAATTGATAATGCATTTTTTAATGGTGGAGTTAAAATTAGTTTGCTATGTTCAGTAAGTGGTGATAGCATCTGTGGTGTAAAAGAAAGTATGCTTAGGTTGCTTTGCAGACCTTTTAATCTCTGAAACAACAGATGTTATATTCTATCTAGTAGTGTGTATCATGGAAACAGTGATTTTTCAGTGAAATAATTGATGAAATGATATAATTACTGATGCAAGGAATACATTTTTGTTATTTGTTGACTGTGATATATTGTGGTTATGCTGATATTTTTGTAAAACAGTATTATGTAAAATATGAAAAGAAATACTGGAAAAGAAATGATG